TTGGGGGCACACTGCCTTTCTCAGCCTGAGGGGAAAGGTTTGGGGGCGGAGTGCCTCCTGCACCGTGGGGGAAAGAGGATTGGGGGCACACTGCCCTTTTCCTCTCAGTCTGGGGAAGGTTTGGGGGCAGACTGCCTCCCTCAGCCTGGCCTGCTGAGGGGGAAGAGGTTTGGGGGTGGCACTGCCTCTCTCAGCCAGAGGGAAGAGGTTTGGGTGCGGACCGCCTCCTGCATCTTGGGGAAAGAGGTTCCGGGGCAGGTGCCCTAGAGCTTAGGGGAGGGACACTGTCTTTCTCAACCCGAAGAAGAAGGTTTGGGGGCAGACGCCCTTCCTGAGCAAAAGGTTTGGGGGTAGACTGCCTTCCTGATCTTGGTCTGCTGGAGATAAAGAGGTTCAGGGGTGCACTGCTTCTCTCAGGGGGAAAAGGTTTGGGAGCAGATACCTTTCCTGAGAAGGTTTGGGGGCAGGCTGCGTCCCTTGGATTGGGCTGAAAGAGGTTTGGGGGCGGACAGCCTCCCGGGGTTTGGGGAAAGAGGTTCCCTTCTTCAGCCTGGGCTGCTGTGGAGAAAGAGGTTTGGGGGCAGACTGCCTCCCTCCACCCGGATCAAATATTTTGGGAGCGGATGCCTCCTTTACTCTCCCCCCCCTGCAGTAGGGGGAGGTATGGGGGCACCTTCCCCTCTCTCATGGGTCCCTTCAGTAGGCTCTTTCTGAGGTGGAAGAAAAAGGAGAATTTATTCCATAAATAATATGTTTTCAAAAACCTTTTTTTCCTCTTAAAGTCCTCAGGATGGTGTGTGCGAGTCTCCACTGTTTTATCCTCCCAGCAGCCCTGCGAGGTAGACCAGGCAGAGAGAGGGACCGGCCCCCAGCCATGCAGTTAAGGTTCATAGCTCTCCTTTGCTTCATCTTACCCTCACAACTGTCTTGTGAAGTAGGACAGGCCGATGGGCCTAAGGCCAGCCAGGAAGTTTTGTGGTTCCCGATGTTCTTTTATTTTCACAACAGCCCTGTGAGGATGTTTAGGATGACTTCCTCCCCCGCCCAACCAGGTCATGCTGTCCTTTGCTTCATTTTATCCTCACAATAACCCTGTGAGGTGGGTTAGGGTAAGACACTGATGGACCCAGCCCCCCGGGAAAGCTTGTAATTCTCATATATACGTACAAAGCTGCCTGACACCGAATTGGATAATTGGTCTGTCAAGGTCAGTATTGCCTACTCGGTCTGGCAGCAGCTCTCCGGGGTCTCAGGTTGGGGGACCTTTCACCTTCTTTCCTACCTGGTCCTTTCACCCGGAGATGCTGGGGGTTGAATCTGGGACCTTCTGCACACCCCGGAGATGCTTTTCGACTATGCTTCATTCCAGTTTGGTATCGTGGTTAAGGGCGCGGACTCTAATCTGGGAGAACCGGGTTCGACTCCCCACTCCTCCACTCACAGCTGCTGGATGACCTTGGGCAAGCCGTAGCTCTGTCAGAGCTGTTCACTCAAGGACAGTTCTGGAAAGAGCTCTCTCGGTCCCACCTCCCTCCCAGGGTGTCTGTTGTGGGGAGGGGAAGGGAAAGGAGTTTGGAAGCCGCTCTGAGACTCCGAGTGCAGGGCGGGGTATAAATCCAATCTCCTCTTCTTCTTCTCTTATCCCCCCAACAGCCTTGTGAGGTAGGCTAGGGTGAGATGAAGCGATGGCCTCAGCGGCAAGTTCTGTGATGTGAGGGTAGAGCGAAGCCCAGGAACCGCTTCCCTGTTGAGGCAGGGGTGAGAATGAGGTAGAGTGACGATCCCAAAGCCAAACAGGCATCCTTCCCCATTTAGTCCTAGGTTAGGCTGAGAGGTGTGGGGGGGCCTCAACCCCCAGGCTGCCCAGTAAGGTACGTGGGCAGAGCCGGGGTTTGAACCTCTGCTTTCCATGGTCCAACTTGACACTACACAACCTTGGGCTTTCGCTTTGTGCTCCCTTCTTTCACGATTCATGTATGGGGCTGATCCTCTTCCTTAGGTATGGGGGGGGGATTTGGTCCTCAGGAGGGGAGCGGACTTGGATATTACATCCCCTTTCTGGCAGTGCAGGTAGGGTCTTGTTTCTTTTTCTGCTTCTTGAAAGTAAATAGTAGTAAGCGTGGGGAACTTCCTGCCTCCCCCTTTATCCCCCTGAGAGCCAGTTTGGTGTAGTGGTTAAGAGCAGCAGACTCTAATCTGGAGAGCCTGATTCGATTCCTCACTTCTCCTCCACATGCAGCCAGCTGGGTGACCTTGGGTCAGTCACATGTTTTCTCAGAGCTGTTCTCTCAAGGGCAGTTTCTCTCAGAGCTCGCTCAGCCCTGCCTACCTCACAGGGTGTATTTTGAGGAGAGGCAGGGAAGGAGATAGTAAGCCACTCTGAGACTCACAAGTGAAAGGCGGGGTATAAATCTAGCTCTTCTTCTCATCTTCTTGTGGAGTAGGAACAAGCAGCATGCATGTGGTCTGCATGACAGCCCATTGTCATTTCTTAAGCGGGAACTTTGCTTTTGTGTTTCTCGTTATGTTTCCCTTCTTCCGCTTCTTGCCAGGCTGGGCGGGAAGAACCTGGGGTCCTCCTCAGGAGGGGTGGCTCAGTGGTGAAGGCCGCATGGTTCCTATGCCAACGCACACATTCTGTGCCGGCGCACATTTTGTAAAGCTAGCCCCGAGGGCCTCTGCTCATTCCCGCTTCGGAGAAGTTGGGCAACTCTCTGCCGCTGCCCTGTTTCCCTTTCTTCCCTTCTCAGGGATTCTCTAAAAGACGTTTATTCTGTTTCCATTTAGCAGGACGCTTCTCTTTCTCGTTTCCAAACTGGGGAGCTGGCCATTAAATGGGTCTAATCTGGAAATTGGTGGGGAGGAGGGGAAATCTGTTGCACAGCCTGGATTGGAGGAGGGAAGTTGGTTCCTGTGTTGCCCTGCGGTAGAACAGCTTGATTCAAGTTCAGTAACATGTTAAGACGTACGCTTTCAAGAGTCAAAGCTACTAGCCACGGTGACTGAGGGGAACCTCCACATTTAGAGGCACTGATCGTTTGAATCCCAGAGCCAGGAGGCAACATCAGGGGAAGGCTTCAGCCTTGTTGCTGGCCCTCCAGAGGAACTGGTTGGCCACCGTGTGAGAGACGGGATGCTGGACTAGATGGACCCTCACTGGTCTGATCCAGCAGGGCTCTTCTGATTTTCTTATTAGGGGAAGGCCTTGGACAAGGGGGACCCAATAGATGTTGTTTGCCTTGACTTCCAGAAAGCTTTTGATAGTTCCTCATCAAAGGCTCCTAAGTAAGCTCAGTAGTCATGGGATAAAAGGACCCTTGTGGATCAAAAACTGGCTAATTAATAGGAAACAGAGAGGGAGTATAAATGGGCAATTTTCTCAGTGGAGGGTGGTAAGCAGTGCGATACCACAGCGATCAGTACTCGGTCCGATGCTTTTTAACTTGTTCATTAATGATTTGGGGTTGGGAGTAAGCAGTGAAGTGGCTAAATTTGCGGATGACACTTAATTGTTCAGGGTAGTGAGAATCAGGGAGGATTGTGAGGCACTCCAAAGGGATCTGTAGAGGATGGGTGAGTGGGCGGCAAATGGTGTTCCATGTGGCGAAGTGCGAAGTGATGCACATTGGGGCCAAAAATCACAACTATAAATACACATTGATGGGGTCTGAACTGGCAGAGACTGTCCAAGAGAGAGATCTTGAAGTTGTAGTAGATAACTCACAGAAAATGTTGTGACAGTGTATGACTGCAATAAAAAAGGCCAACACTATGCTGGGGATTATTAGGAAGGGAATTGAAAACAAATCCACCAGTATCATCATGTCCCTGTATAAATTGATGGCGTGACCTCATTTGGAATACTGTGTACAGTTCTGGTCACCACACCTCAGAAAGTATATTATAGCATTGGAAAAAGTGCAGAAAAGGGCAACTAGAATGATAAAAGGGTTGGAACACTTTCCTTATGAAGAAAGGTTAAAGCACTTGGGGCTCCTTAGCCTGGAGAAACAACGACTGAGGGGTGACATGATCGAGGTTTACAAGATTTTTCATGGGATAGAGCAGGTTGAGGAAGAAGTCCTTTTCTCCCTTTTTCACAATACAAGAACTTGTGGGCACTCAGTGAAATTGCTGAGCAATCGGGTTAGAACAGGTAAAAGGAAGTACTTCACCCAAAGAGTGATGAACATATGGAATTCACTGCCACAGGAGGTGGCAGCGGCTACTAGCATGGACGGCTTCAAGAGGGAATTGGCGAAACATGGAACAGAAGTCCATCAGTAGCTATTAGCCACAAGGTATAGATAGGAACTCTCAGTCTGGGGCAAGTGATGCTCTGTATTCTTAGTGCTTGGGGGTGGGCAGCAGTGTGAGGGCTTCTAGTGTCCTGGCCCCACTGCTGGACTTCCTGATAGCACCTGGTATTTTTGGCTACTGTGTGACAGAGTGTTGGACTGGATGGGCCATTGGCCTGATCCAACATTGACTTCTCTAATCTTCCCTATGCCCTGTTGTTGGCCCCTCCAGAGGAACTGGTTGGCCATTCTGTGAGACGGGATGCTGGACTAGGTTGACCCTCACTGGTCTGATCCAGCAGGGCTCTTCTGAGGTTCTTATCAGGGGAAGGCCTTGGCCTCTCTGCCCTGTTGTTGGCCCTCCAGAAGAACTGGTTGGCTGCTGTGTGAGACGGGATGCTAGACTAGATAGGCCTTCACTGGTCTCATCCAGCAGGGCTCATCAAGGGAAGGAACCGGTTGGCTACTCTGTGAGACAGGTTGCTGGGTTAGATGGACTGTTGGTCTAATCCAGCAGGGCTCTTCTTACGTTCTTAAATTTTCCTTCCATCAAATATGAAGGGAGGGTCTGTGTCACCCGCCTCAGCTGGGCTTTCTGTCAATCGAGGGGGGCGGGGGTCACATTGAGGTCTGCGTCTTGGCTTCGTCGCTTCCCCAAGTTAGACCAACTCATCCAACTTTATAACTCTTTCCGCAGGTGAAATGCACTTTGCCGTCCCTGCATACGTCCGGGGAGTGAATTTGGAGCCGCCGTGTATCGAGACCTCGGGCTAAGTCATCTGCTCCGCCGGCACCTGGAAGGAAGCTGGATCTGTAACTTTTTCCTGGTTCTCCCAAAGGCCTGCAACCTCTTGCCCCTACTCCAGGGGTAAGGGGGGGGGGGGACGTTTCAGAAGAGTGGAGCCTTTTACCCGTCGGGAAAGGCAGCCGCGTTTGCTTTTTCCCGGCCTGGGGAAGCTTAGGTTCAGGATTTCCTCTGTGTATTACTTCCCCCTTGGAGACTGTTTTGGTAGGATCGACAATGCCATGAACGAGAGCGGCGCTTCTTGCTCCCCAGCCGAACACACCGTGCACCGTGGAGTTCGGTAGAGGAGGCCGAGGCAGCCTGTGACCTTGCCATGGCTGGGAGCGGTTACACGGACCTGCGAGAGAAGCTGAAATCAATGATGCCTTACCGGGACAACTACAAGAGCGGCGGCCAGCGGGACCCCGCCGAGCCCCCCTACGGAGCCACCGGCGGCACCGCCAAGCGCAAGTACCGCAAGGACTCTGACTCGGAGCCCAGCGACGGCGAGGAGCGCCAGCGGGAAGAGGAGGAGGCCCAGAAAGTGAAGAGCGGCATCCGGCAGTTCCGCCTCTTCAGCCCTGAGGAGTGCGCCAAGATCGAGGCCCGCATCGACGAGGTGGTCTCCCGGGCCGAGAAGGGGCTTTACAAGGAGCACACGGTGGACAGGGCCCCTCTCCGGAACAAGTACTTCTTCGGGGAGGGCTACACGTACGGGTCGCAGCTGCAGCGGCGGGGGCCCGGCCAGGAGCGGCTGTACCCCCGGGGGGAGGTGGACGTCATTCCCGAGTGGGTCCACGACCTCGTCATCCGGCGGCTGGTGGAGCACCAGGTCATCCCCGAGGGCTTTGTGAACAGCGCGGTGATCAACGACTACCAGCCGGGGGGCTGCATCGTCTCCCACGTGGACCCCATCCACATCTTCGAGCGGCCTATCGTCTCCGTGTCCTTCTTCAGCGACTCGGCCCTCTGCTTCGGCTGCAAGTTCCAGTTCAAGCCCATCCGGGTCTCCGAGCCCGTCTTCTTCCTGCCCGTGAGGAGAGGGAGCGTCACCGTACTCAGGTAACCGAACGGGCGGGTAGCCAGCCTCTGCAGTTCTGGCAATTTCTGGGTGTTTCAAGAGGAACAGGCGGGTTGTGCGATCCCCTCTGAGCCATAGATGTATGATTCTTGGTAGTCTTTGCAGCTAGATTCACATCCCGTTTGGTGTCGTGGTTAAGTGTGTGGACTCTAATCTGGGAGAAACGGGTTTGATTCCCCACTCCTTGCAGCTGCTGGATGACCTTGGGCAAGCCATAGTTCTGACAAGAGCTGTTCTTGAAAGAGCAGTTCTTGAAAGAGCTCTCTCAGCCTCACCTACCTCACAGGGTGTCCGTTGTGGGGAAGGGAAGGGAAAGGAGTTCGTAAGCCGCTCTGAGACTCCGAGTGAAGGGAGGGGTATAAATCCAATCTCTTCTTCTCCAGTATCACTTTAGAGACCAGCAAGCTTTTTGCAGTACAATCTTTCAAGAGTTTGAGCTCCCTTCATCCACGTTAGTATTTATCCTCAGCCTCCCAAATAGGGTTGACCTGTGCATTGAGTTTGGAGATCTTTTAGGAACTGAGTGATTTCACAGTTCACTCAGCCTTATGCGGCTACAGGAGTACCTCCGGCTGACCAGTGCCGCTGTTATCGCAAACAGAATTCTGGGAGCTCCTGGAGTGCCTCGGAACCTAATCCAGGCACCTCCACTAGGAGACACGTAATTACTGACAGCTTTCCCTCAAAAGACAGTGCCAGCCTTCTGTGCCGTTTCGGTGGGGTCTAGAGTCCCTTCTAGACTTCGTTCCAACACGAGCCAAGCCCGGGCAAGACGCAGGCGCCTCAGAATCCTCCGCCACGCTCATGGGTTTCCCGGCCGATTACGTTTCATGTAGGAAGGCTTCCCTGGGGGCAGGAAGTTTCAAAACCAGAGAAGTGGGGTTGAAACAGCCTGTAAGCGAGAACAGTAAGTGTAAAGTTCAGCTTGCGGTGAACAAAAGTTCTGCATGTTTCAAGGACAGGAACTCCGTGTAACTTTTACGAGCCCCACGGGTTCCTCATAACGTGAACAGCTGCCCTGGAACCAAATAAATGTGCCGCTTTGGCACATATATATTAATAATTGGTTAAATATATGAAAGCAGTAGCAGCCTGTGTAGGGTTAAATCTATTCTCAAAGCCTTCAACTGTTCAGGTTTTTTTACTCCACTGCTTGGCGTGTGACGTTCCTTTCACAAACTGGGCAGCGGGTGGTTTGTTTTCCTGTTTTTGACTTGCTTTGCCCACGTGCAGCACTGTTTGCAGTAATGGTGAAGAGCGGCAGACTCTAATTTGGGGAACCAGGCTTGATTCCCCAGTCCTCCACATGCAGCCAGCTGGGTGACCCTGAGTCAGTCACAGTTCTCTCAGAGCTGTTCTCTCGAGAGCAGTTCTCTCAGAGCTCTCTCAGCCCCACCTACCCTCACAGGGTGTCTGTTGTGGGGAGGGGAAGGGATGCAGATTGTAAGGCGGGGTATAAAATCGAACTCTTCTTCTTTTGGAACACATTTTTTTTAAAGCCCTCTCTGGTAATGCCTTAGGGCGGAATATTCCATGAAGAGTCGCTTTCTTCTTGGCACACTAAGTAATTTAGAAAGACCTCTCCAAGGTAGCTCCCATTAGCAGCAAGGCTAACGCTGGTGTTCTGGAATGCAAAGTACTACGGTTTTCTGGAAGCCCCTCCTTCCCTCCCCTCCCTCCCAGTTTCAGGGCATCTGTTTCCTCCTCCCCTCCGGAACCGGAAGTATAAAGGCACACCCACATTGCTGGTGGCCACTCGTGTTTCTGGGCCAGCGTCCTTTTCCAGGAACCGGGTGCGAAAGGGCACGCCGTGTTGAACTCAGGATAAGCTTATGACCAGTCCGTATTTATAGTCTCGTAAGCCAAAATCCTGTCCTCTGCGAGGATGAGTCAAACGTGTCCCCAGCGGTGCAGCGTTGCCGTGGCAAAGGGGAGGGCAAGCGGCTTGTCTTTTTTTCGGTTGGCGGAGCAGACGGACTCCGCTAGTTGGAAGGGCCGTCTGCGGGTAACGTGATCCCCGACTTGGATTTGTAAGGCGATCGCCACGCCAGCCCGGGAGGGCATCTCTCTGTCTCTCTTGTCTCTCTCTTGGGGTAGGTGCAGCTGTGCAGCAGCGTGCAGACGCATGAATAATAAAGCATAGTTAGAACTAAAACGTAACCACTGAAGTTCCTTCTTCGCATTAACTAAATGCTCCCACAGAAATGAGGGTGTTGAGAGAACAGTGAAGCTCCCCTTCACTGGCAGCTTTCAAGAAGAGGCTGGACGAATATTTGTCAGGGATGCTCTAGGCTGATCCTGCATTGGGCAGGGGGCTGGACTAGATGGTCTCTATGGACCCTTCCCACTCTATGATTCTAACTCCCCGGAAGCCGCTGCCCTCAAAACAAAATCCTGCCCTGACGCCTTTTGGCTGCAAAGTGGGTTGAGTCCAGCTGATAAGGGAAAACTGTAGCTGCCCGAAACCCGTGCGTGTGTGTTTGCCTTACAGAAATAACGTTGCTCCCATCATGCAGCGGTGCGTCTGAGCCATGGCAGGCAGAGCTTAGCTGGCACGGGGCCCGTTCTGTGGCGCAGGGTCACGTCTGCCTCGTAAGGTGGACAGCCGATAACCAGGCTCCAATCGCTTCCCCTGCTCCGAGTCCCCCGCCTTTCCTGGTACAGTTGACGGTAGCGATAGGACGTCACCGGTTATGGAGAGGGAGACTTGCCCGTTTAATGTGGGCACATCTACAGGGATGGGATAACAGATGTGCGTCTAAACCAGCCCTGCTTGATTCACGTGCAGGAGCGCTTTTGAGCACCGTTCCCTCTAAGCTGAGTTAGTGTGAGCTAGCTCACAGTTTTTAATCCTCCAGCTCACAGATTTTTGTCTTAGCTTAGGAAGGAGGGCTCCAGAGCAGTGTTCCCTCTAAGCTGAGTTAGTTTGAGCCAGCTCACAGTTTTTTAGCCTCTGGCTCACACATTTTTGTCTTAGCTCAGGAAGGAGGGCTCCAGAGCAGTGTTCCCTCTAAGCTGAGTTAGTTTGAGCCAGCTCACAGTTTTTTAGCCTCTGGCTCACACATTTTTGTCTTAGCTCAGGAAGGAGGGCTCCAGAGCAGTGTTCCCTCTAAGCTGAGTTAGTTTGAGCCAGCTCACAGTTTTTTAGCCTCTGGCTCACACATTTTTGTCTTAGCTCAGGAAGGAGGGCTCCAGAGCAGTGTTCCCTCTAAGCTGAGTTAGTTTGAGCCAGCTCACAGTTTTTTAGCCTCTGGCTCACACATTTTTGTCTTAGCTCAGGAAGGAGGGCTCCAGAGCAGTGTTCCCTCTAAGCTGAGTTAGTTTGAGCCAGCTCACAGTTTTTTAGCCTCTGGCTCACACATTTTTGTCTTAGCTCAGGAAGGAGGGCTCCAGAGCAGTGTTCCCTCTAAGCTGAGTTAGTTTGAGCCAGCTCACAGTTTTTTAGCCTCTGGCTCACACATTTTTGTCTTAGCTCAGGAAGGAGGGCTCCAGAGCAGTGTTCCCTCTAAGCTGAGTTAGTTTGAGCCAGCTCACAGTTTTTTAGCCTCTGGCTCACACATTTTTGTCTTAGCTCAGGAAGGAGGGCTCCAGAGCAGTGTTCCCTCTAAGCTGAGTTAGTTTGAGCCAGCTCACAGTTTTTTAGCCTCTGGCTCACACATTTTTGTCTTAGCTCAGGAAGGAGGGCTCCAGAGCAGTGTTCCCTCTAAGCTGAGTTAGTTTGAGCCAGCTCACAGTTTTTTAGCCTCTGGCTCACACATTTTTGTCTTAGCTCAGGAAGGAGGGCTCCAGAGCAGTGTTCCCTCTAAGCTGAGTTAGTTTGAGCCAGCTCACAGTTTTTTAGCCTCTGGCTCACACATTTTTGTCTTAGCTCAGGAAGGAGGGCTCCAGAGCAGTGTTCCCTCTAAGCTGAGTTAGTTTGAGCCAGCTCACAGTTTTTTAGCCTCTGGCTCACACATTTTTGTCTTAGCTCAGGAAGGAGGGCTCCAGAGCAGTGGTCCCTCTGAGTTAGTGTGAGCCAGCTCACAGTTCTTTAGCCTCCGGCTCACAGATTTTCGTCTCAGCTCAGGAAGGAGGGCTCCAGAGCAGACTGATTGATGCAGCAGCCAAATCACTTGCTCACGACTTTAATGCCAGTCGCTCACAAAATAGAATTTTTGCTGACAAGACTCCACAGCTTAGAGGGGAGCATTGCTTTAGAGGCCAACAGGATTTCCAGGGCATGAGCTTTTGAGAATCAAATCTCCCTTGAGCAGGTAACTGACAAAGAGGGGCTTTGCCTCTCGGAAGCTCCTACCCGGAAAATCTCACTGGGCTCCCAGTTGCTGCTGGACCCAAATTGAGCTGTTCTGCCGCAGATCAGAAGGAGCTTCCCAGCTGCTGGCGGCGTAGCAGCTGCGTAGCGGCATACAGGGCCTCCGTGGTCCCGGCACACTTGACCTAAGGTGGGCCTTCCAAACGCATGGATGGTGAAACTCGAACCCAGGTCAGGGAGGGGGAGTGGTAGTGGCAGAAAGAGCAGTCAAGGCACAGCTGACCAATGGCGACCCCACAGGGTTTTCGAGGCAAGGGATGTTCAGAGGTGGTTTTGCCATCGCCTGCCTCTGCGTAGCCACCCTGGACTTCCTCGGTGGCCTCCCATTGAAGGACTAACCAGGACTGATCCTGCTTAGCTTCGACTGGGCCAGCCTGGGCCATCCAGGTCAGAGTAAGAGGGGGGGGGGGCGTAGGGAGGTCTAAATACAGCTCCCGTTGTGGGGGCTGGAGGGGAAAGACGGCCCGGAATAGCCGTGGCATGTCACTTACGGCCCTGCGGTACACCTCATACTGCTGGGTCAGTGATTCTTGTGTTCTGCAGAAGCCGGCAGGGTCGTCTTGCTTATAACACTGCTGCAGAGAAGACTGACGGCTTCCTGGTTTCGGGAACGCTTGATCCCCGCGCCACTCTCGCTATTGTTTGGAGGGACCGTTTTCATGCTTCGGT